CAGCGTGTATGCTCCGACCAGCGTGCGTCGACAGGCTGTGTCCGGCACGGCGCATTGGCCAAGGACTGGATCGATCCCCTGGGCTTCTACTGCATCCGTGCATTGGCTGTCATTGACAAAAGCCTCAGTGAAAAAAACTATCATTCGCGGACTCAAGTGTGGGGCTCCCCGAAACAGGCTCATTTTTGGTGCAACCACTGGATCCCTCATCTATCTTAAACAGTTTCCACACATCCTCGACCAACAGGGCTTCACGGCCTATGAGTTCCGAGACATGGACCTCCTGCTGACTGCCCTTGCTGGAGCTGGCAGAACTGGTTCCCTTTTGGTTGCTGGGATTTCGGGGGCATTCCCTCTTCCAATGACCCTTCTGACGACAGATATGGCAAGTGGTACGCCCTTTCAGCATCTCAATCCTGCCTTTCACCGTCCCGTTGAGACGCCACTGAGCTCCTGGACGACTGTCTCCTGGCTGACTGAACCCTCGGCTCACTTTTTGTTCTCTCAGCTTGCGTCTGACATCCAGATATGATTCGAAGGCCTCCAAGGCCTCCTCATCATCTTCTCCTCCGGCCTGCTGGTGCTCCAGAGCGATCAACTCAGCGACCTCATTCATGTCAGTGTCGTCGTCCACCATTGCCAATTCGTCTGTCCCAAATTGGACATCAGCTTGGAACACATCCTTCTCCTTGTCCTTTCTCACGGATCCCTTCCCATCAGGAAAGATCGCACGAACTGCACGTTGAAGTTCTTCAAATTCCAGCTTCCCCTGCGTGTGAGTCATGACCATGCTTTCCTGTCCAGACTCCAGTCGAAGCTTCTTCAACAACATGTAGCCTAGAACTTGTGACGGTAACTTGATCCCTTGTTCAACTAAAAGTCGATTCGCAGAGTCAAAACGTGCCAGAAATTGAGGGAATGTCTCTGATGGTTTCACTTGCAGTTCATAGAAGAACCCACGTAGAGCTAACTGAAGGAGATCTCTAGGTTGTGGTCCGAACTTCTCGTCCAAAATGGCCCATATCTTGTCACCACCCGTCTGCGTCAGGTCATCGACAGGGATCTGCTCTAAAAGCGTCTCCGCCTCGCCTTTGATGAATTCCATCAGACGTGGCCCATACTTTGCTTCACTGACAGTGCTCGGAAGCGCTGCCAGCATCAACTGAGCACGCCGTTTCCACCGGCGATACATCCCAGGGTCGGAACCATCAAAGCTCTCGATGCGGCCCTTTTCCTCACTCAAGCTGGCCATGGCTGACCCACGGAACCGAGGACACGGCTCCGCTACCACTGAGAGGGGTTACCTCCCAGTGGCAGCACCATCACCAACCTTTTCTGCGGTACTCGAGCCCCACGCTCCGAGTGCTTGAAGTCACACGGACTCAACTTGTATTAATGGCTTCATCCATCATGAGTGGAACTTTTCTCACCTTGATTTGATTGGCTTTTTGATCATTTTGATATATTTTGATAAGTGTTAGTTGAACAACTCGACTGTAATTTAGTGCTTGGGGCTATGCATCACTGTTGGATAGTCCGTGCTCTGCTGCTCTGGTTCTGACTGGAATTGAGTGGCTGGTCCCAACGAGAACACCTGTAAACATAGCTTTATGCAAGTGACATAGCCGGGGAAAGGAGACATATGGAGACATACACATCTTGCACCCATATGGCCCATACGCAACTGAATGTACAACATGTACCCTCAAGTAAACTAACATAGCTATGGATTATGGCCCATTTATAGATTTACCTATTAAACATGGTGATGTTCAATAGCAAACTGCAAACGTTTACCAGAGGGTATATAGATGCAATGCAATCTGAGGCCCACCCATCTGATATCTGTGTGCCACACCCGGCGTCATTAAAGCAGCACCGACCTCAGAGTGCTCCAAGATTCGCTCAACCGTTCAGCGATTCGGGCATGCCATGGTGGTAAAACAAAAACCCGCGTGGTGGGAAAAACACTGTAATTACATGTTTAACAGGCCGTTTTGGCGAAAACAAGTTTGTAAATATCCCATGCAGTGATTGGGATATACCCTGATGGATCTGTCCAACCTACAGATACTTACCATTATGCTAAGAGTACGTCAGCTGCAGCCTGGTCAAATCTCCGTACAGATCTAGGATGAGGTTCGCCCCAGGGTTTCTTCAATGTGGTCATGTTGGCCGTGCACGATCGACCTTAACATGTGGGTGTGTTTGAAAACGGGGTATGCCCCCAAAAGGTGGGGAACATCATGGCAGTAGATTTATAGGGTACTTGGATATACCCTATTTCTCCCAACACGCAACAAGAAACACACAACATTTGGAGGTAAAGAACCTTTCAAATTGCTGATGGGCAACACAACCCCAGTCAACTCCCACCAAGAGGTATTGGATAGTTGTTTCGCAGGGGCATGCAGGGGCTTAAAAAAAAGAACCCCTACTATGCTGAGACATGCTAACCTGATTTACAGGCTTGCAAGCATTGCATAGTTTGCGTAGCATTCATGTCCCGTCTTTCATGGGGAACCCACACGCATTTCAATCATGTCGTGTGTGATACTGCATGCGCCGTCATTACGAAGTTTTCATCCTTCTTTCGCATTGGCTTCCGCTAGCACGGCACATCACCCCGTGCAATTCCCCGGTTTCAGGGAGCACGGGGTGGACCGAGTGTTCTTGACGAGGGGAAGTACCAAAGAGGAGCCGCAAGAACTTGCTTTCAAAATCTTTCCAGCAAACCAATGTGGATGTGGAAAATCTGGATTATTGGCCTGGGGAAACTAGTGATTTTCATTGGTTACGTATCGGCATGTATGAGAATGTATGTTCAGTGGATCTCAATCTCTAAATTCAAAACAAAAACAGAAAAACATAAGAAAAGGACCGGCGGGGGGGGGGACTTGGGGGCACTAGATTGATACTAGCACTAGATAGGGACCTCTGACTTCACCATTTCACCATGACTCAACCATTTAGGGGAGCTTCTAACCTCATCATGCTTCAACCATTTAGGGTCTTAACTTTAGGGGACTTGGGGGGGGGTACCAAAACCCTGAAGCTCCAGTGGAAAGGAGGCGGGCACAAGCGAGACAAACTCGCGGGGACAAGCGAAGCAGTATATAACCTCCTTGGACAAATTTTAACGATGTAAAAGAAAATAATGCAATGAACAGCAAGTATTCAATCAAGAGTTGGTTTTTCAGGGACCAACCTTGGCAAGGATTGAGCTCACGTTTCATTTGGTGGACCTACTGTTCATCCCCAAAGTCTGTGTGCCAAGGGTGCGTAAAACAAAACTGTGCAGAGAAAAAAACATAGAGGATTTTGGAGCATCGAAGAAACAACATCAGGGATCACGCTGCAAGAAAAACTGCAGAGATACATGCATATTACATATATATATATATACATATATATATATATACATATATATATACCTGGGTCTTCCATAGGGGTGACTTTTTCTTGACAACATGCATGTTGTCAAGAAAACCCAGCCACTGTTTGCAATTTGGTCAAGTTTCTTAGAAATGGACAACATTTGAGACTGGCCCTGGTCAAACCATGATAGGGGCTTGAAGCATCCTACAATATTTCCTGAGACCAAAACATAAGGTATGTATCTCTTGTATGGCAAGTCACGCAACGCGACTTAAAACTTCGTTGATCAAATGGAACAGCGAGATTTGTGAGCACCTCTCAGAAAAGGTAAGCCCCTTCTGAAAAAAAAACAACATCGAATCAAACACCTGGAAGTGCTAGACTCAAACCTATCAAAAGATCATGGAAAATTGTGATCCGGGGAGTTTCCCCCCCAATTTCCCGCGTTTAAAAACGCCCATTTCCCGGGCAGTTCCGCCCATTTCAATTCCACTAAACTGCCAAATAATTTGCGGATTTTCTGAATTAGCTGTAGATTTTAGCCACACAGGCAAGGTCCGTGCTAGTTGTGAAGTAGTCCATGGGTAAATAAGTGGTCGAGAGCTTGGGCTTGCATTCAGCTAGGGTTTCTATTTTTTTGAAACTGTTTGTTGGTTTTCTAGCTGACAGGGTGTCATAAGTTCCTAGGGTGAAAGCTACTATCTGTTTTGCTGAATCAATGAATGCAAAGGACATCACATAAACACATCAAAACCATTCAAAACCAAGTTCTGTCAGGATGGTTTCCGCAAATTTGGGCCAAGTTCTGTCCAATTGTCCATTCTAAGGTGATTGTCAGAAAAAAGTGCTACTGTGCAAGTTCCAGATATGTATGTATGTGATACATACCTAAATTACATAAATCATAAATTAAATATAGTACATCATCATATACTTAAATATACTGAAATAAGATGTGTTTTTCCTTTACACGAGTGCTCCACCTTTTGCACAACCCTTCGACGGTACATGCATGTAAAGCGCAAGCCTCCTTCTTGTCATTGTCGGAGTCATGGCTTCTACACACGCGACTGTAAGGTGGCATTTCATGCAGCAACCCACCATCCATCAACAACGATTCGCACTGAACAAATAGATATAAATAAACTCAACTGTTGGGGTCTGCCTCTCTCTCTTCCCATTTCCAGGTCCAGTTGAGGGGCGCTGCCACTTCGCATCCTGGCTGTGCCGTCAAGCCTTTGGACTGGCACCGGCAGGAGAGGGGCATCTGGCCGCTGTGGTCTTTGACAGCGCCAGAGGCCCAGTGGAAAAACGGGCGCCCCGCGGTGGAAGCAACGGCTGGTTATGATGGCTGGTCACACATCAGTTACGTTGCAGTTGCTTGATGTGAATATAATTATATAATTACAGTATATAGTACAAGTCGGTGTGTGACACATATAATAATGTGCTTGGTGTTATATTTGCATCCGGCTGTATAGGTATACGTGACATTTGGCGAAGCAACTTGAATTGAATGTAAAGTCCGGTTCCCAACCTCATCTAATTAACACATCCAATCATAGATTCATCATCTGCCCATGCCCTAGTCACACAAGGAACATCCTTGCAGCCAGTGCCTGTTACGGCTGCATGACTGCCGCACTAATGGCCTTGGGGATAACATCGATGTGAAGCCAGGGTTCCCATGAACGAGATCATGTGGGGTGCGTGGCTGCCCCCAACATGCACGAAACTAAGAAAAACAATCAGCAAACATCTCCACATGTCTCCAACAAATCCTGTGGGCTAAGGGGTCAGCAACGACCCATGCATGTCTGTTTAAGACTTTTAGCGATGCGGTTGACATGTCAAGAGTCAAGATATGGCAAGTATACCTTATAATATCTCGTATTTTCTCCATGCGTTTAAGTGTTCAACGTGTTCAACATTGTTCAACCATCCAAATATTTGCCCTTAGTTTGCAATATCCCAGGTAATTCTTCCCAAGTTTGGTTGGTCACCTTGGTTTCATCGGTGACCAACCAAGGACCATGTGCTGTGCCGAGGCACAAGGAGGTGTCCCGCCGCAACTCCTGTCGTCATGGGGGGGACGAAAGTCACGGGCAAATCCGAGTTCTTCTGGTGCCATAGCAGCCACTGTACCTTTTTCATTCAACAGAATTGAACCAAATCCAAAGGAGGGGCCCCAGAAATGGTTGGCAGAATGCTTGCAGCCGATGCCAGGATGCAAGTCACACCTCTTGGAACACACCCAGTTGTGTTCACCCTTTGGATCATATACAACAACATGAAACACAAAGCTGAAAGAAGGAAAATCTTGGGATACCCTCTGGCCATTTTTGACATAGCTATGGAAGCCATGGCCCATGGTACCATTGATTTTCCCATTGATTTTCCATGGCTATGTTAGCTACTTACGCTACACATATGTTGCATGACCGGAGGGTACCCCGAATCCCAGCCGCCTCCTTTCAGCACTCGGCCCTCAGGGCCCAGCACGACCTCGCGATGGCAGGTCCTGGGGAGGATCGAAGCAACGCGTTGCGGAGGACCTGGAGGACCTGACCTGCTTTCAACCGGTTTTTCTGAGATTTATGACATACTGAAATATGATATAGAGTGTATATATATATATGTGTGTGTGTGGGGGTGTGTGATATTTTTTCAACCACCCATTTCTGAGATATGAGATATTCAAGATATTACTGACATACTATAAGTCACATAGTCAGTCACTTTGGAGTTCATCATTGTCATAGTTCATCATCCCAAGTCAGGATGGGAGAGGACAACCCACATAAATTGACAGCGAGCTAGGTGTGCTGTGATGATCCGGGCGTTCACAAAAAGTTCACGGGATCTAAATTCTAAACAACTAACTTCATCTAACTTCAACAAAAATGGAAACTTCTGAGTTCGGAACCATTTCTTCAGTATCAAATATAGTGTTCCCCGCAGCACACATCTCCTTCCATCGAAGGAAGCAAGGTCGCAGTAGCGACCCATAGGCAAACCAGTGTCGAGGGGGCGATCCGCCAGCCACCAATCAGAGCCTCTTAGAGTCTTACCCTCTGGTAATTTAACATAGCTATTGAACATGGCCCATTTATAGTTGTTTTACCTATCAAAGATGGTGATTTTCCATAGCTATGTTAGTTTACCAGAGGGTAGTGGATTCGTGACAAGTTGATGGCCCGTTTGAAAACCCCAAGGTACCAATCCCTTGGAAAGGCCTACTGTGGATGGGCCAGCGAAATCCTGCACCACCAAACGGATGGTTCAATCATGTTAAATCCCTATAAATTGTGGGATAAACCACTGAATCAGAATCTATCAACTGGTGGATTTCGCAACCACAGTATGTCATCTATCTGACACCATCGAAAGTTCATCCCCAGCAGTGAACATCCGCCAGATCCGCATAACAAACGCTTGCTTTGGGGCTGCAGGTGTGCGGCTGCAAGGGCCTAATAACTTGCCAAGATGGGAATATTGGGAATGGATCAAGACTATTCAGATCTATTCAGTAGCATCAAAGCCAATACACCAGGAAAATCCGCTATCGTTGGTTATATATGGTTATATATCCCATTTGCTCTTTTCTTTTCCCTAATGCCATTACATCCCATGAAAATCCTTTTTTGGAAGATTATTCTGAGTACCCGAATATCTGGGCTTATCCCACAGATGTAGGGAACTAACCCCAGTTAGTAACTAGTTACAATATGCGGGATGATCCTTCAAGTATCATAGGGCTTTTCAAGAGGAGATTTGCAGGAAACAATGGGCTCTATACTTTTATTCTTGGCTTTACTCACAATTTCAGACATTTATAAATGGTTCTTTTTGAAAGTGTTCAACATCAATTAAGTTATAATTAATTCTATCAATCTCTTTATATTATCTAACTATATATATATATAAATCCCATGAAACATCGCCATAAAATATATCTCCAACGCCGGCCTCGCGCCAGAGCCACAAAGCATCGGCTGCCCAAACGAAAGGCCAGGTGGCCCAGACGCAGATGCTCGGGACCACCTTGTGGAGATATCCCCATGAGAATTGGTTGTATATAACACCTTGGTTATTATATGCCACCCCAAGTATATAGCACATGGGATGTAGAATATATATATATATGTATATATATATATATGCGAATTGTATTATTTCACTAAGCTGAATAGTTCGGCCATTTTGGGATGATTCCCCTTACTAACCATGATTCCAGTGAGGTCGCAGTGAGGTCGTTATAATTTACTCAGATAATTATATGTCTATGGATCCGAACACTGTCTGAGAAGGTACTTAACACCCTTTATAAATCATACCTCAAGTACTTCTTAAGAAGGTACTTGGATCCATAGGGATATGATATGATATAATTACCTAGGTCTTCAAACGAGCAAACATTGTAGTATATCAATGGAAGAGCCAAGTAGTTATATAATTGAATAATTGTATATTATATATAATTATATATATATATATATTATGTATGACATGTATCGACATGATTTATTATGGGATATGAAGAACCAACAATATGAAATGCTGGGTGGGGTATGCCTCCAAATAGATGGTAACTTTTATATACTTCAACTATTAATTAGGTAAATGATGATAATCCATCAGTTGTCGAGGGGAAAAATATTTTCAAACAAACCCTTTTGTGAATCATTGAGACAGCTCACCCTGAAGTAATTTCTGCATAGATCAATGGGAATTTCAGGATCCTAAATTGGAGGTACTTACCCGCTTTTTCAGGCTTAAATTTCAGGGAATATCCCAACAAAATATGGCCCACAATATGATACTAAGTTAGTACCTCCATTTTAGGATCCTGAATTTCCATGAATTTCCCATTTTTAACGAATATCTATAACATTCTATAACTGCATAATATCAAATCATACGCACCAACAATTTGCCTTACACTTTGGTAAACTAACAGTTTGCTATTGAACATGGCCATAGAAATAGTGAGTTTTCCCATTAAAAATGGTGATTTTCCATAGTTTTTTGTATGTTTACCAGAAGGTAACCCAATGGGTTACACAACCGCTTGGTTTTCCCAGGAACCCAATGGCTCCATCCCGAACGACCTGGCGTCCATCGCCGCGTCTCGGCGTGGCGGCAACTGGCGCGGAAGCGCAACAAGCCGGCGACGCCTTGCCACCTGAAACCATGGCATTTTTTTGGGTGGGAAGTGGGAACTCATGGGTTCAATGACAACTGGGGAAACTATGGGAAACTATCAGTTTTGCTGATTGTTGACAACTGGGGAAACTATCAGTTTTGTTGATTGATGACAACTGGGGAAACTAATGAAACTATGGGTTTTGTACGGGTTTTGATTGATGATTACCATTATACCATGTTATCTCACTATAAGTTGTTGATACATCCTGTTAATCAAAAAGGATACTCAAGATTTCTCGCCATAGCCATTGATTGATTTGTAAACCATGGGAAACTACCGGGTTTTCCCGTTTATAGAAGAGTTCCTGCAAACTGTCCCTACTCAGGCTGAGGTGGTTTCGAAAGAAGACATATCAGCCATTTTGACAACAAAAATCCAGGATTCTTTATACAATCCCTTCCTGCAAGTCATTGTGAGTGCTTGTGTTGACTCATCCTCAATCCAACTTGGCAATCGGAAACCATCCAGCTGAGTTAACTGGATGATGTCGACTCATAGCCAAAAAAGGTAACGTTTACCCACCAACTGCACCACTGAAACATGGGGATTCTATGGGTCCGAACTGACCTAACTGGCTCGCTGTCCCCTTGAGGGCGCCAATGTTCTCACTTCTATAATGAGACAAAAGAATAGGCCAAATGATCACTAGTTATAAGTCAGATAGTTACAATATATACTAATATATACTATATATAGTACATATACGTAGAAGTGCATTTGCACATGCAAATATATATATCTATATATGCGTCTTTCTCCCTCCCTATGAGGAGAAAAAAAAACTACATGATATCCGATGATGAGGCACCATCAACAAAAAATAGTGATCAGTTAATTACATTTAAATTACTGCTTTTCAGCCCCAGCATCCCATGAAAAATCAACGCCTGTGTTCGCAGATCCAGGGCCGTGCTGTGAACTCCTCCAATGGTGGCGACGGTGACAAAGTGGGCGTGGCCCGACATCCCTCTGAGTGCGGCGACGTGGCGGCACAATGGCTCTGGCCGCCTGCGGAGCTGAAGACTGTAGAAACCCCCAGGGGATGGGCAAACCGAAAACGTTAAAGTGGCTTTACAACTAACATGACTATAGGATTTATGTTAGTTATAATCTGTTATAATCATCACCGAAAAGATTGGCTTATAAATTTAAAATGAGTTGACCTTGCAAGTTAGTGATTAATCATAAATTCAATGGGAATTTCAGGATCCTAAAATGAAGGTACTGTACCATATAAGGCCATATTTTGTGGGGATATCCCCTTACATAGGCCTTATAATGGTACAGTACCTCCATTTTAGGATCCTGAAATTCCCATTGATAAATGATAACTTATATAAAGGCACTATTGATAAACGAGCTTACATCTGGGGAGCCGCAGAAGATGGGTTTGTCCATATATGTCCGACATATGTCCTATAATGAGCCATGGTCTTGACATGTTTCGACCAAAGCAACATGCAGTGTGTAAAAGAAAACATATTGGCTATAGAGTATAAGAAAAAGGGAGTTGCAACGCCACAAACCATCTGAGTGTCCAACCATTTAGGTGTCAAGTTGCATTCTAAATAGGAACATGCCGATCTACAATTTCATAAATCCCTTGTTGGGGGTGGTTCATTATTGGCTTTGCGGCACGCAACAAATACGCAACCCATTCGAAGAGCCACCGGATTTCAGGAGTGCAAGCAGTAGAGAATTATTCTTCAACCTAATGTATAAACAAGTTCGGGGTTCAAGCAACAAATAAGCAACAATGGCACCTCCAGTAATTGAAACATGACATAAATTCATATAAATTTGGTACTGCTGAATGACAATCTCTGTGTTTTTTCTTAACACGCTGTGATGACAGTGGTGGTCATGGTGGTCGAGCCAGTAAAAAATGGCTGCATCACCAACAAACAAAATGAGGGATCGTGATTTTACTTTTAAGCATCGAAGCAAAGTTCCCAGTTTGTCTAATCCAGATTTGCGCATATCACTTACATCGTATTACATCTTACATCCAGATTTATGTGAGTTCACAAGGCCAATCATGTCCTTTTGGTAAAAATATAGATTTTCCCATTAAAAAAGGTGATTTTCCGATTAAAAATGTTGATTTTCCCATTAAAAATTGTGATTTTCCCATTAAAAATAGTGATTTTCCCATTAAAAATGTTGATTTTCCCATGAAAAATTGTAATTTTCCCATTAAAAATGGTGATTTTCCCATGAAAAATGGTGATTTTCCCATGAAAAATGCTGATTTTCCCATGAAAAATTGTGATTTTCCCATTAAAAATTGTGATTTTCCCATTAAAAATTGTGATTTTCCCATGAAAAATTGTGATTTTCCCATTAAAAATTGTGATTTTCCCATGAAAAATTGTGATTTTCCCATTAAAAAAGGTGATTTTCCCATTAAAAATTGTGATTTTCCCATTAAAAATTGTGATTTTCCCATTAAAAATGATGATTTTCCCATTAAAAATGTTGATTTTCCCATTAAAAATGTTGATTTTCCCATGAAAAATTGTAATTCTCACATTAAAAATGGTGATTTTCCCATGAAAAATAGTGATTTTCCCATTAAAAATGCTGATTTTCCCATGAAAAATTGTGATTTTCCCATGAAAAATTGTGATTTTCCCATTAAAAATGGTGATTTTCCCATGAAAAATTGTGATTTTCCCATGAAAAATTGTGATTTCCCAATTAAAAATTGTGATTTTCCCATTAAAAATTGTGATTTTCCCATGAAAAATGATGATTTTCCCATGAAAAATTGTGATTTTCCCATGAACAATGGTGATTTTCCCATTAAAAATAGTGATTTTCCCATGAAAAATGGTGCTTTTCCCATGATAAATGGTGATTTACCCATTAAACATTGTGATTTTCCCATGAAAAATTGAGATTTTCCCGTTAAAATATGTGATTTTCCCATTAAAAATGTTGATTTTCCCATTAAAAATAGTGATTTTCCCATGAAAAATGGTGATTTTCCCATTAAAAATTGTGATTTTTCCATAAAAAAATGTGATTTGCCCATTAAAAATTGTGATTTTCCAATTAAAAATTGTGATTTTCCCATGAAAAATGGTGATTTTCCCATGAAAAATGGTGATTTTCCCATGAAAAATGGTGATTGTCCGATTAAAAATGTTGATTTTCCCATTAATTAAAAATGTTGATTTTCCCATTAAAAATTGTGATTTTCCCATTAAAAATTGTGATTTTCCCATGAAAAATTGTGATTTTCCCATTAAAAATTGTGATTTTCATAGCTGGTTTGCTTTACCATCTATCATTCACCCATGGAAATCGGACGGCCTTCGCAGCCGGGCGGGCCATCGTCGATACTACGCCAGGCATAGCCGCCCCAGAGTACCACGGTGACGGGAAAGGGCGAGGCTAACCTTGGCTTAACATGGTGGATTTCATATGGGTATGGATCAATACCTATGAAAATGCCATTTTTAGTGGGATGAACATCCATTTACCAGCTATTTTGATGTTCACCAGGGGTACAAGGTTTTGACACACTGCCATATGATTTATATGGGATATCACATTCGGATTGATTTCAGGGACAGTTCACAAGAAAACCCGTAGAAAACCTCATATTTCATCGGAAAATCCCACAGTTTTCCTGTAGACCAAGTCATAGAAAAGTGAGTTGGAAATATCTATATATGAAATATTGACTATAACCTACTGGAATCACTTTTCTATAATGGATCGGTTTGAAGGGAAAACAATACCAGAAACCTATGGAACCCCCAAAAAAAAATCTTGGGAAAGTCCGATGGTTTCCTGTACATTTTCCACTCATCCGTTGACATCAGGGATCTTAAGGGGAAGATCTACAGAAAACTATGGATATAGCTGGCAATCATAGAGAGTTTCTGCAAAAAACAGGGGTAATAATGGTAGATGTCATTGGGATATGATGGGATATGATGGGATTTACTGGGATATCATGAAGATAGAATTGACTTGTGGCTGTGGAACTTGGAAGTTAACCCGAGGAAAAAACAACACATTTACACATTGAGGTGGAGATGGAAAACCACCCAACATGCTGTGTCAAAATGCGAGTTCAACAGGACAAAAATGAAAAGTTGGAGGTGGGGATGTAAAAAACAACTTCAACATTTTTACAAAATTATTTATTTTGAGTTGTTTTCATCCCAAAATGTCCCAACTATCCCAACTATTTCCCAACTCTGGGACTTTTTGATTTCAGGATCCTTGGGACAGGGGACGCCATTCCTGGAATGACTATCGGGGTGAATTTTTCACCTGAAAAAAATCCTCGGAAAACGTGGCGATTTCACCAGAAATGGAGATTCAAACAGCATAAAGAAGCGCACAATTGATGTACATGATGTTGATTCAACTGGCTTAAAGAATTTAGAAAACAATAAAAACATGTTCCTGGAAAAACTTGAGTTTAACAGTTTAACCAAGAAGAGGTGGATGTAGCCAACAATCTGATTGATGCTGACATTGAATCTAAAACAAGTAAGAAATTGCGATCGAAACAGTAAAATATGCATATAATCCGCAAGAATGTGGATTGAACAGATGTTTGCAACACCAATTCGCAGCCTAATCTGAAAATGCATAACTCTCCATTTGTAGACGGTTTTCTAATTATAAATGGGGCAAGATGGGGCAAGTATTGCTCACTGATAAACATCTCCCGGAATCTATTCACTCTTGAGACCGCCCGAGCGTAGCTTTTGGGGGACAGATTTTTGGGCTGCATTTTAGCACCTGATATCACCTGATAACCCCCCAAGTTGTTGGACACTGAGCTTAGCTATCTTAGCTTGAGGCAAGTTCCTTGCCATTCACTGGGACTGCTGGCGATTGAAGTCGTGTGGGAGGACCGGATCATTGTCAAAACCCCCAACCTATCCAAGTCTGGAATCTTGATCTTCAGTTTCTATCCACTTTAGGTACCCTAGGGTAAACTTACCTCATTAGATTAGATGCCGGAAAAATCATCATTTGTAGACCATGGGTTTTCCATGGGTCTTCCAGGCGACAGAAAGAGCTGCTGCTGGTGAAACGCCAAGCCGTTCCTGGGATGCGTTGGTCAAAAATCTGTGGTAGTTGCTGTGGAACCATCAACCAGTCAACTTTGGAAAAAGTATGTGGCATTTTTGGGATTCAAACAAGTCATAAATCCCAATATAGAACTTACAGAACTTGTCAAACAAGTTGATTTTATGGAATAGTAGTCAACTTATAGAACTTGCCATAGATTCCATAAATGGAAAACGCAATGGAAAGCGCAGCAATCATCTTTTGAACAAAGCCAGGTTATGTTGTAAAGTCGTTTGAGCTATGGCATGCTGTGGCTCAGAATTAAGCTCTTTTCACAAACACAACCAAGGTTTGACCAGAAACTGTGAGGTCAAAGGTTTGCCAAAACCTTTTGTGGCTGAATGTCATGCTACTTAGGCCTAGGCTTCTGAGGCTACATGATACTCGCTTAAAGTCATGGAAAAAATGGAAATGGATCTGCTTCATGTTTTTAGATGTTGGAAGCTGAACAAAACCCCATGGAATACCCTCCGGTAAACTAACATAACTATGGAAAATCACATTTTTTAATAAGTAAACCAACTACACATGGCAATTGTCAATATCTGTTTGTATGTTTACCAGAGGGTACATCTGTACATTGCAAGGCAGTTTCGAAGGCACCGACATCCGACATGCAGCCGGGCAGCTTGAAGGTTGGTATCGCAGGATCCGCCTAGGTCCCCAAAAGGATGGCCCAAAAAGGATGCGAATGGGCAAAATGACCCTTAACGAACTGGCAGCATCCAAAAATGATCCAAAAATGAGTATCTAAATCTATCTATATTCGGTGTAACCTAGGTATCATCTAGATGTTCTGGCACACTGGCACCAAGAAAAGTGTGGCTCTTAAACGTTTGAAATAAGTTAAAAGCAAGTAATTGCAAGTAATTGCATTCATTGTGCAGTGGTGTTGTTGTGATCCAGTGAAGCGTGGACGCTGGACAAAATACTAACTGGAAAAGACAAAAAACATTTTGTGGTGGACGTCCCAAATATGGCGTGAAGGTAAATGAACAAATTAAGCATATATGAAGCCCCCCTATTTTGTGGAGGTTACTGTTATGAACCTATATATATATATGAAAATATAGTAGACAGATAGAGATATAATGATATAGATATAGATATAGATATAGAGAGATATGATAGATATAGAGATATGATAGAGATAGAGATAGAGATAGAGATAGAGATAGGTAGATAGTTAGTTAGATACATAGATAGATAGATATTAGACGTCTGTGGTTTAGCCTGTTACGCTTAGCGCTGAGGTTTCGAACTGCCAAAAACTCATCGTCAAGCGGCTCCGTCACTGCGACCATCATGAAAGCCTGAGCTGCTCAGTTTACCCTTGTGACTGGGATACATCGGGGATACCCTATATATGGTCAGCATTTTACCCATCTAATGTGTATTCGCAAATATCCATCCATTCATCTAGCACGTCTACCAACTTCATCGTACCCCACCTATCTTTATGTAAAGGTGCGCGTGGAATTCGCGTACCTGAAAACTCGAAATCTGACGCTCCAGCCTGGTTTGCTGGATAAATCCCAAAGGGCAACCTCCATAGAATCAATCAGACCATGGGTGAAAGCCGTCATTCTTGTTGCTGAAAGATGTCTGATGCACTGCGGCACTGGATTTCAAGAGCGAGCTGCACCCACCCAGTCTCTCTCTCTCTCTCTCTCCCTCTCCATCATTCAGCTCAGGTATAGAAGTAAAAAACCAGCACCATGAGCATATGGGCAGGCTATACATCATTGCTGACAATGCAAACCAAAAAATCATCATTGTTGTTTTACCAGACTTTTTTTTCGATATAAAACATCCCCGGAGGTTTATCAATGTTGTTTACTCATTCTAATTGTGTTTACCACAAAAAAAAAACATGGTTTTCATCACCAAGATGCAGGTTGGATAGACCGCTTCCACGGGGTGGATGTAGAAATCTCCGCGGTCCACGTCTAAGACCTGCAAGGGACAGCCTATCCCCAATGACTTTCCATCGATGGCATTCATATCCCCAAATCATGGGCTTCACATTAGGTTTAGCAATACTTAATCAAATTTGGCAAGCAAAAATCACCCGTATAATGTACACATCTACATATATATAATATATATATATATATAATGTCACTCTCTCTCTCTCTCACTCTCACTCTCCATCCATTTTATCACGAAAAGAACTTGCCGTGAACCTTGGCAATGGCATAGGGAAGCCATGCTGATTAAGTTCCTCATTCCAATAATGTGATTTTTGTCGGGGACTAGGACCTCCTGGGTCCTTGAGATGTCCTGCACAGCCAAGAATTCGCTCACACGACCTCGGCGCTTGGCACATGTGACTTGGGTGTTGCCGAAATGTGTTTGAGAAAACAACAACTGCAAGACAATCATAAAAACTTGCAAAATACACATTGATGGAACATGTTTTTTTGGTGGAAAAGCCCCTGTCAAACCAGCAAAACTAAGGGGTTTGTCGGTCTGGCAATCAAACATGGCTAAACAATTGTTGATGTTGATGGGGAAATGGTTCAAAAACAGAGGTTAACGAATGACTTTCCACTACAAGACTCAAGTACAAGGGCAACAGGCAAGTCATTAGCTCAAATCTCTTCCATTGTGGTTTGGGGTGTGGTCATCATGGAGATGTTCACACAATGTTAAAATATTACTGTCGCCACACAAGGGAACATAAAAATCAACTCCTGCGGATGTTGAAAAACCGATCTTTGATTTTTGCCTAGACTTCCTAGACCTATCATAAAACCAAACGGTGGATTTGGATGGAGTTTACCCTCCGGTGTCATCAAACATGGCATGGAGGTCTATAGGTGGGAGAATCAGTTGCCAATCCCGTGGTGGATGAACCGGGCCAACATGTGTACCCCTTGGACAAAAATCACTGCCGGAAGTCTAAACCTGAAATTTTCATAGTCAACACATGTGGACAAGGGTGAAGGCTACCACTTGAGCCTCACAGAGCTGGTCTCTGTTCAAATCATATGCGTTGTTTTTACCATTCAACTGCACTCCGTTTGAAATCATATTTTCCTATGAACCATTCATTTTCCTATGATGAATAAATGAACCATTCAACTCCATTTTCCAGTATCTACAACCGACATAGGAAAACTGTGACATGCAAAGAGTTTGATGAACTTTTGTTGGAGCTCTCAACCAGCATTGGCGACCTTAAGTAATCATCCCAACTAAGGCTCGAACATGAACAACATGATTGACATTCACAACCTGGTTTCATTAAAGGTTACCCTCCAGTAAATTAACATAGACCCTGGCAGTTATCGGGGTTGGTTCAGATTTGTTTCCACTAAAAATTGGTGATTTTCAGGGTCTATGTTAATTTACCAGAGGTTAAATCCAATTGTCTGCTCAAATCTACCACGGTTGGTGGATTCCCATGTGTATTCCCGGACTGGTTTTGTTCTTACCCTCTGGTTTCAAACTTGACGTAGCTATGGAACAGCCGTTTCAATATATACTTAAATCATGTTAAATCATCATAAATATACCAACTTCATGGGTCATCTATATTCATGTTAACTAACCAGAAGCTATACATTCCCAATCATCACTTCTAAACATTTCCCGCGAGATTCGACGCTAGCATGTGCCATTGGGAGCCTTGAGCCTTGCGGAGCCAAGAGGCGCATGAACTTCAGATCTCGGTACAAGCCAAAGACATCGGTGCGACCCGGCAAGGGAAGCTCATGCCACCATTCCTGGCTGAGTCACGTTTGGCCCCATGGTGGAATTCACGAAAAATGCCTTGAAGCTCCACTGTTTGACCATGTTTGACCAATGTTTGATGCCCAGCCATTTCTGGTACAATTGGACATGATGTAGGGTTTATATGGCTTTATCACATTAGTTCAAGAACATATCAAATCATATCAACATGTGATGAATCGAACTTAACAATACTTAACACATATTCCAAATCCGAAACGGAGATCTGTTTGAAGCCGAATTCGATGGCTCGTAGCTGAGTCGCAAGGACGACTCAGATAGCTATCCATGGCTGCGGCTGGAGTTCCATGAAAGAAACCGGCGCCGTCCTGGTACACAACATCCCATGGGAAGCGGTTCAGAATGCTGGACATCAACTCTGGCTCCATGTACAGGGCCGCGTCAATACCTTGGAGTTGCTTTAAGATTCACTGATATTTTTGGGCATGACTTTGGGATGCAAACTTTGTGTGAGGAAGAACATCATGGCAGTAGTAACAATAATAACAATAATAATAGTTGGCATCATCATCATCATCATCATCATCATCATCATCACCAGCATCATAATCATCATCATCATCATCACCATCATCATCATGACCATGATGTGTCAAAATCTATGTGCCGTTTTCACATCCAACATGTATCGCATGATTTTATATATATATATATATACTCTCTCTCTCTCTATGTCTCTCTCTCTATATTAATGATACTTAATTTGCTCAAGCAGACTCATTCCTGGTACAGTATACGGAAATGGTTGCAACTCTCCTGAAGCCCTCCCCTTTCCGACCCTGCAGCCGGTGGACGGAGCATTGTTACACCCATGTGATGCAACTCTTCTAAGTGCCTCGGCGCGTGGCAAAGGCTTTCAAGGGGTGAACCATGATCTTGGTTGAAGCAGAAACATGAAGAAAACCAAGAAAAACTGGAATCCCAGTTCTATAGGTCCTAAATATATTTAGAACGAACTTTGGGGTGCAACCAGAAAATGATGACCTCAAACGCGTGTGGACTGCCAGTCAGCGTGCCTGCCCTATTCAAAATTATACAATTCCAACAAGCTATGGCAGAGTGGTTTTTGTAAACATGAATTTTGGAGAAAACCGTGAAAATCATGGAGCATCTATGAAACTCTAGTAAAATATTTGAGATATCAAATAGCACTTGACCTTGTTTAACTGGAATGCTGAGTGGAAATATTGATAACTCTAACCAATTGATGAAGGGTACCATTTTTTATTCTGAATGTTCATGCTGAATTCCATACCATTGATACCCTCTGGTAATTTAACGTAGCTATTGAACATGGGCCATAGAAATAGTGGATTTTTCCCATTAAAAATGGTGGATCTTTCCATAGTTTTTTGTACGTTTACCCGAGGGTATCCATGAAACTCGATTGGTACCCTCTGGTAAACTAACATAGCTATGGAAAATCACCATTTTTAATGGGTAAATCAACTATTTCTATGGCCATTTTCAATAGCTATGTTAGTTTACCAGAGGGTAACCAATTTGGTTGTAGCCCTGCAGAAGGTGGAAAAACTGCAGCATCAATGGAGCCTGGTGTGCGATTCCTGCACGGCCTTCACCGCGAGGTTCCAGTCTGGCAAGCCATACCTGGAAGTCATGGAGCCCAAGAAAATGTTGGAAAATGTTGGAAAATGATGGAAAATGATGGAAAATGATGGAACATGTTGGAAAATGATGGAAAATGATAGTGAATCCACTTCAAAATACTGATTTGTTATCCATCACTGGGTTGCTTAGCTGCATGGTAAAAATAAAGCAGGACCTGAGCACAGGCAGTTGGAGATCTGAAAACTTTCGTTGGGAAACGAAACTCATCATGCTTTTGTCAATCTTGACAGCATCCTGACCGCAGACCAATTTAACATCCCTTAAACTTTGTTAGTTTAGTCCCCGGATTGCTTCATATGCGTCATGGTCAAAATATGTCAATTTGGGGGGTATGGGTCATCTCGCCATCGTGAAGGGGCTTTCGACCAAATAAAGGGGGTATAAACCCCCTTTAAAGGAGGATTTACCATCCCTTTATTGGCAAAATAACCTTAAAGAAACAATGTTTTGACCATGGCACATGTGCGTTTCTGTTGTTTTCCAATTGTAGCTCCAGCGAAATTTCCCATGGAGGATGTCCAAGTGACATATCGCAGGGGCAGCAACTGCAGTCCGTGGTGACAGGTGAGCCACACAGAAAGCCTGGCGATGCTGTCATGTCTGCTTTGTACAAAGCCCATAGCGTCTGTAGGCGGCTTCTTTGCCTGAGTTGATTCATCGTTTTTAGTTGGATATCAACTGATATCAACTGATATCAACTATAACCCTGGATAGTAAAGTCATCGCCCATTGGCACAAACGAGGATCATCCCAGCGATGGCACGACCTGTAAATAGAATGGTTCAAGGAATCGTGGACCATCAGCTAGGGTCGTTCACCACTTACTCATCTTACTAAGAGGAAACAACATTTAAGAGTTACGTGTATATATAAATATAATAATCCCCATCTGGACGCATGGGTTAACATGTGCAAATCGGTGATTTCAAGATTATTAATTTTGATAGTGGACTCCCAGGAAAATAATCTGCATCACCAGTAGGGGGTTATAATATATATATATATAGTTTTATATGATTCAGACTTCTCATGATGGAAACAATATCTAGAATGATTGCACAATAGGGATCTTCAGTGACAAGTCACTATCATGAATCAATTTCAGAATGGCAACCCCTTCCACCAATACATATAATGAAACAAACACCCTCACACAAAACAAAAAAAACATACATAAACCGTGGTTTTAGATTGATTTTCTTCACTTTAAGGGGGATCGCAGGGAATACAACCGTTCATTTTGATCGATTTCGGGAAGAAACAGCCGCCCGGCGCCTGTGTCTGGACCAACGCCACATTCGCCCCAAATTTCTTTGTCGCCGTGGTGGAAATGCTGCGGTGAGGCCATATCCCAGCCACGAGCACCTGCGCAGCCAGGCTGGATCGAACCTTCTGGGTTTGGGGCTGAAAATGAAGGGCTTAATTTAGGGGCACCTCCAAATTACAAGAGATGATGATCATGTTCCGATGATGTTTTGGGTGGGCCAACTATGACACACCTCCAAAATCACGTGGATCACGGCTAGTCCAAGAACCTGATCCGCACCATGGAAACCTACGAGAAGGCCGAAGGCCATCATTCAGTCTCAGGGAGTCGGAATATCCATGTTTCTTCTCATTAAAGTTCTTCCATCTTGTTCCCATCAAGCCACGAATCCGGCCGGGCGCGCCGTTGCACCTGCAGTCCGCCGATTGCCGTAAGAGGTTCCATTCCATCCAACCTTGGACGTGCTCAAAATTGGACCGGCTGACATCAGCAAAACCTTGGCAGCATGAACCCAACAAAGATGTCTATTCTCGTGAAATTGTAGGTCTGTCTGAAAATAGGGTACAACCACAACCCCAACAGAATATCATTTTACGAGAGAATGATTGTTTAACTGGATGTTCAATTTCTATCAATTTCTGCCATAACTTCTCAAACAGACAAACAAACACACAAACACACAAACAAACAAACAAACAAACAAACAAAAACAAAACAAACCAAAACAAAACAAACCAAAACAAAACAAACAGACTCAAATATGAATTCTTATAGATACGATACATCCCATTAATATGGGTCAAAGGATGTCATCTGCACCATCCCCCAGTCATCACAAGGCCAGGTCACACAAGGCGTGCCCCGGGGGGCGCCCTGTGCTGCCGAGCAGGGCCGCGCCATGTGGTTTAAGACCACGTCCACGACGACCTCGACCCCTGGGATCGCAGGGAGCTGTCAAACATGGCGAAAAGTGGGGGTTTAATGTGTTTGGATGGAAAAACATGGGAAATCCGCTATCTATATTATATACATACATGTATATATATATATAATATGTATATAATATATATAATATACATGTATGCATGTATGCATGTATGCATGTATGCATGTATGCATGCATGCATGCATGTATGTATGTATGTATGTATGTTTGTAAATAATATATGATTTTCATGTATTTTCCAGCACGGATCAGCACGGCATGTTTGAATTCCAGAGGCTAATTTGGGGGAATTGCATAAATTCACCGAATAACATGTATGTGGGAATAACGGTAAATGCATATCTGGGGAATGATGGTTATTCATCTTTGTTAAATCATTTGATATCACCTGTATTGATTCAAACATATTCTCATCATTCATGTTCATGGGTACCTGCAGTGGAAACACAAGAAAAATCTGGCAGGTTCTTACAGATTTCCTTCCGAGTTGTGTCAAGTTGTCCTCTCTGGTACAGAAACTGAACAGTTTGCGAACTGAAAAATCATCATATAGGTCAATCATCATCAATCATCGAAGTCAATTTTACATAAATGGCCCATCTATACCATAGCTATGTTGAAAAACCAGGGAATATCAGTCTGATCCATCAGATCCATCAGCAACAGGTGTCTGAAATTTGTGGCCGGCCACCTGCTTTGCGACACTCCGCAACGGCTTCTCTAAGCTGCTCAGCTGACCCGCTGCAAGAGTTCAAGGAAGCACTGATCGGTTGGTACCTCCAGCACCCAAGCCACAGGAAAATTCAGCATGAAACTGGAGATCCTAATTTGATTGGAAAATCGGAACTACATTTTGGATTTGATCTGATCTTTGGATATTGGAACCTGAAAAACTGAAAACTATCATACAACTATACCATAAATATTCTGAATCCAGATCCAATTACCAGCATCAACTAGCCACATTACTAAAGCATGCTCTTCCCACATCGCTTCCCCGCCTGACCCACCACTGGTGTCCCAAGATGTGCTCCGTGACCGGTGACAGCTGCACTGCATCTACTCCAGCGGGGCCCAGGACATCCCGACATTCCTGTTGAACATCGGCCTTGAAGCCAGATCGTTGGTGAAGTTGTTTCACAACTAGCATAATTATGGATGCATATGGCGGTGTCCTAAAATGGGGGTTTATTTCATGGAAAATTGAAAATCCATCTATAAATGGATGATTTAGGGGTAGGCCCATTTTAGATATTTTAGTAAACCTCCATATAGATCATATATAGATCATATAGCTTAACCATGGATTTAAAGATAGCTTACCGATAACAATCCCGGATCCAAATACTTCCTGAGTACTTCACCCCCCTAAAGCATGCCCGGAAGGTACTTGGATCAATAGGAAATAGTTATGTCTTTTTGCAACTTTAGGATTTATAGTGGATATATTCAAACTTTTTATTATGATAGGCTCGACGTAAACCAACAAACGTAACTGGACGGCACCGCCTCGTAGCACATGATTTGAAAAAACTTATTTGGATGACTTATATATATATATATATACATCTGGTTCTTATTGCTGTTTTAAACATCGAAACACTTTGGACCAATCTGATTTGGGGTGATATTGACAGATTCCACAGCAAAACCATTGTGAAGTCCATAATTTGCTGATCCACCAGATCCACCTCGGCTTTTGGGGGGCATAAGTTGGACATAAGTACAGAAGGATGGGTCAAAGATCGATACCCCGAAGAATCCGAAGGGTAAAAACTGATAAATGCTTCATTGCAAGGGTGGAAACAGGTGCATTTACCATGGCAAAGTTGAAGTTGCACTTTGTTTGCCCCTAGTCTGATATGATAATCTGATATGGCAATCACAAATTGGAAGGTTCTCAATTCACTTCTAAATGACTTTCCACTTTCCACCATTTATTTCCAGAATCTTACCGAAAAAAGAAAACAATGCCGCAAAAGGTTCCTTTGCATTCTTGTTTTGGTAAAATATCAGCACAATATCCGGTTTTTGGGTGGTAGACAACACAAACAAAAAAACGTAACCAGCGTAACCATATTATATAATTTCATCCGGTATAGCTAATCCAATTTGCCGATAGCCACTGGTTGGTGGTTTCAACCCCTCTGAAAAATATTAGTCAGATGGGATGATTATTCCCAGCATATAGAAATCAAAATTCCTGTTCCACACCACCAACCAGCAATGTGGCCGTTGCGAATGTCAAGGAACATAGTTCCATTCCCAGAGCTTCACATAGCTTGCACTCCGCCGCTGACGGCCTCCCTCACCGCCATAGGGCTCCTATAGGCGATTCGGCAACGGGAGCGACGACGGGATGGGCCCCCGAGCTGCCAAGAATCATGGTATCTAATCTAATATCCATACAATGTGGGGCCCCCCAGTTATAAGTTGGTTTATAAACACCAGTAAGTATAGTTATAAGTACCATAAACCATAGTTATTGGAGTTATAAACCAACTTAGCTATCTTGGGGGCACCACTTAGTACAAGATTCATAACATTCATTGTTGGGGTTTAACCAGCCAAAAATGGGGAAAGGGGATTTGAACATATTTATATATTTGAACTAGCCAAATGGTGATCTATAATTTAGCAACTAACGTAGACCCTGAGAAGTAGCAAGTGTTAGAGGAAAGTCTTCTAAACCCTCTTCTTGGCAGGGTCTATATTTAATAGCTGGGGGTGATGATACTCCTGAAACGGGATCAGAATAGCTGCAAAGGGATCCTGCTATTTTGTCACCATGCTGCTTATCTGCTTTGTATCTGCACTGGATATGTCCTTGGAGCAAGACTCCTTACATGGCCAATTACAACCCAAAGGCGATCAAAGGGGTAAGACTTGTAGAATAAACAATTGGGGCCAGTGGAACAACAGCCTGCGACAAATCAGTGGCCATACATAGCCATAGCATGTCAAGTTGCCAAGTAGCACCATTGTTTTTTGATGATTTTGTAATGAGGATTTCAGTACGAAATTAATTGGATTGCTTTAAAAAAAGAACATTATTTCCGGTTAAGATGTTCCCTCATGAACCATTGTAGTTGCAATTGGATGTTGCAACATGACACCAATGCTTGCAACTACCATAGGTATTGCAACTACAGGAAACCCCCCATATGTAATGCTTCATTTCTATCACCCCAGGCCTGGTAGTTGCACAGTTGGCTGTGCACCCAAGCCCGCCCATCGCCAGTGTTGGCACCTGGAGACGCTGGAGAGCTGAGGGCGGCCCTCTGGCCAAATGTGAAACAATCCACGGTAATCAAGCATGGCTAGCTGGGAAACTTTGTAAAATTGAGTTTTGTCGGGACCATTCATCTATTATTATTGTATAATAAATTAATGCAGATTTTCCAGCAAGCCATGCTTGATTGCGGGAGGGTATCTGATATATTGCATGATATGCCTGATGCTTCGGCATAAAGTCGTGAGTTTTTGTTGACGGGGTCCGCAAGTCTGGCTTGAAATCACCATGGCTTGATGGGATGACTGGATGACCATCACATCTGTAGCAGCTGGGATTTCCAGCTGATTTCACAGCTGATTTCACCCCATGCTTTTCATGCAGCTTGCCATAAAAAAGACATCAGCCTGAGATCCTGATAACGAAAAACGTAGAAAATACCACAAGAATCTGAGGCAACTGGCGTCATCATTCCACGCAATTTCAGAAATCAACAATTTAACCATGTAGTCCAAAACAAAAGCCAGGCAAAAATAAGCCATAACATGCCATAACATAACCATCATTTCTGGATTCATTAAGATTATGTCACAGTGTCCCCATATTTGCTGGCTATATTATATATCCCGTGATTTCAAACGACAAGAATCAACAAGTCACTGGCTTCGGACTCTCGCCAAGCTGCTCCAGGATTCTCGTAGAACTTCACTGGGCACCAGTCTGAACAGTTGGTCACCTTCGGCATCGCCCAGCGTGCAGCGGCCGTTGCAACGCAAGCGCCCACCCGAAGGATGGCGCAGTGACACCCAGCCACCGTCTGCAGGGGAGATGTGCTGGTTGGTGTTGGTTAGTGGTGTTTCTCTGGGAACCTCAAAGATTTGTTTTATCATTTTTATCATAGAAACAGAAGGAATATGGTGTGAAGCATATTCCTGCCATATTTCTGGGTGCCATTGTCTTCAAGAAGTGCTGTAGACCGTTTTCGGCGCGGCCTTCCTTTGTGATGTTGAACAGCACCCCAGTTTCCTAGGTGGAACTGGCCAGCGGCGAGCAACCCAAGAAGATGATGGAAACTCATTGAAAAACTCATGTGGTGAACCGATGAAGCCAATTATTTTCAATCAACCCATCTCAACTTTGGATTTACTGTTGGAGACACCCCTAGTAGGCGTACCTTAGAAGAAACACAAATGGTGATATAGTGCTAAGTACTGGGTCTGGTTCAGTCTATCAGTATCATGTGCTTGGGAAACTCTTTTGTAGCTACCCATTGCTCCCCATCTACTAGGGCAATATATGGGAAATATAAAGGTATACGGATAGCCCTAGCTCTTTACCGCTTCCTCTGTTCACCGATAGAAGATGGTAGTAGTATTGCAGGTACCACATTTCCCATCAGTCTGCTCCACCTTCGCTGCATCTGAGACTCCCGATTGCCACTAGCTTCCAGGGAACCCCGAGCGCCTTCCGCAGTGACGTAGTGGCCTGAAGGGCCACATGCTGCGAGATTGTTATGTCCAGCCTATTTGGATGTATTTGGGGGGCTTAGAAAATCAACACTTGAACAAAGAAAGTACTGAACCACACTTAACCAATCCGAACCCACTTAGTTTTCTATCAAAAAGTCAAATGAAATCGCCATAAGCGTCCATCAAACAGTCAAAGATGAACAAAACCAAAAAAAAGCGAGCAGTGTTGTATATATAATTAATTTTGGTGGGTTAATTTTCCCGGATTCCAGGAATGGATGATGATAGTCCATATATTTGATAGAGATACCCTGGAGAAAACAAAAAAATCGATCCGGAAAACCCATATGGTTTCCCCTTAGGAAATTCATCGACAAATGGGGCTCGGTTTCCATATCTTGTACGGTTTTTCTGCAAACATGCGGATTTGATGTTTTTCCATAGGTTTTTCAGTCAATGATTGGTGCTTCAACAGATTGATCAATGGATTGGTATACGAAGTGGTACTTTAGGCTATACCTCCGGGAAGGTTTTCTTTGGCCCGACCATTTCAACATCCAGAATCCCAGGGTGCCGGGCCGTCGGAACTGCGCAAGCGACTCGCGTGCGGCGAATGCGGCTCTAGCACCTGGGCTGATGCTCCATGGTGCTGGAAGATTGTAGCAACATTTGGATACATGTGGGCCATTGTTGGGGTAAATGTTGGTCAATATTCCGTAAGTGGAGCGCATGGGAATGGGTATATAATTAATAAAAGGGAAGATCATCTATAGACTATAAACGGGAAACATCATCCATAAATGCATATAAATGACGATTTTCAATTGCCATGTTTGATTGCCAGAGGGCATGCTACAGTTTCAAGCAGAAACTCGGATCACGAGATGTCGAACTTAACAAAAACTGGGGATTTGACATGCCAACGCGACGAGAATGGGGATGAATGGGGATTTACCGATCCATCTTGGTCTGATGACTTTCTGGGCTGATAAGGTTTCTGTTGGTGTACAACTGGCTAAGGATTTAGCCTCTGGAAATTCTACCTGGTGGAAAAATAACGGAACATCACCCATGTGTATAGTTTAATGTTTAAACTTATATAAACTTCGATTTTTTAATGGGGGATTCTTCCCAGATTCTTCCCACATTCGCGGGTTTTTCCAGCCCACCACATCCCACCACCATCCACCCATCTGTCGCCAAAGTTTGACCAGGTTCACCGACGAGCGCCAAAGATGCCACGTAGTGGTCCTCCACCACCTCTGTCGCTGGGGTCACACTCTCCGTTTTAGCTGCTGGTGCTGAAACGGTGAAGCCAAATCAAAGGATGTTTTGTTGGGATTTGGTGGAGAAAACTCAGGACAACCACCCAGACCTTTTAGATAATATGCATATATATATATATTTATACACACTGTATACTGTCCCGATTAACCTGCCATGTGGTGTGATCAAATGCTTAGATGTGTGAACTATGTTTGTTCAACTGCTTTATGGATCTTTCGGGTATCGTCTCTGAACCCCAATTCTCCAGGGAACCACTTCATGCTCTTTGCCGGTAGCCAGAATTCGACCACGCGGGTCTTGTAGCAAAACACCTGAGTTCTTTTTTGGATCACGCTGCGACGTGACCGATCTCGCAACATTCCCATATGATTCATCATATGATCTCAATTCTGATGCCATGATGCTTGTCGTTCAAGCCACGCAGATCAAATCCACAGGATGTGACTTTGAAACCGAAGCCCTAAGAATGCATGGCTGCCCAAACCGTATGTTTCAGATGTGGCCACACCCTGGGGCCGGTCTCCAGACATCATTCCATGACCAGTGGGATGTTAGTGTTTGGAGCTCTATTGTTTGCTGGCTTTGAAATTTGGCCAAGATTCCATCATCTGGGGGTCCAGAATCTGCTGACCTGTAAATCGATGCACAGCATGACTGGTGCTTTTCACAATTGGAGTGCCGAAGCTACAAGCTGATGTTGTGTAGCAAGCAACAGCTGATGCCAGAACTGATTTTATTTCGCTGTGTCACCCGATTCTAAGATACGTTTCTGAAATGATTCCAGCATCCAGAAGCAAACTAGTAGGGATCGGGGTCTTCAACTTCATATCATGCATCTTAATACATCTTCAGCAGGGCTCAAAATCACTTGACCCCTCCGAGAGCGGTCAAGATCCAACATGCTCAACATGCTTTTGCTTCCGTGGCCATCTGCATATGTTCAAACATGTCCACATGGCTCTTTGTCAAGTCATTGGGCGCCCAAGCATTTTTTAAGAACCATATGATGGTTGAACACCAAACCATAATTTTCCCATGGTTTGTTTCTCTCATGTTTTTTTCCCATGTCTTTTTCCAACAAAAACCTGAAGCATATTGAAGCCATCCCCAGGCGCACCTTCGAAGCGCCTTCAACGACGTGCAGTTCCACACTTCGCAGCGTTGCAGTCGGAAGACCCAGCTATTGCCCAGCTCCTCTCGGGCACCTGAAAAATCCCGAAGCAGTTCGAGAAATGGTGGACACTTTTTGGAGCAGTTAGAATTTATACCAGCCATACCACTCTCCATATATTGTATACTGTATATATATATATATGTGTGTGTATGTGTAGGTAAGTAACTCTTTGAACACATCTCTTTGGGGGGGTACTATGCATATATATATATACACTGTCATCTGAACATGTGTTACCCTCAGGGAAGGATGGATGTGGTTATGTGTCTATGACCATCCAGGGGTGTCCAAGGGTGGAATAGAAAGTGTAAACCATCAAGCAGGTCTTTTAGCTCTCAGCAGTTCTTCTGGGCATCAGTCGGCCTGCAAACTTCTCTGAGAAACTGAAACCACACCTCAATCATCCAAACCACTGAATTTGCAAACTATCCTCCTGCACATGTAATTAATCGCGCGATGTCAGACTTCCTACCTGAATGTGCATCCCACTTACTAAGTGCTGAATATCGCTATACGGGCCCAATATATACTTGTGGAATAGTCCATGATATGAGTACCTAAAGCTTCAAGAACCTATGAAAACGTAGGTCCACTCAAAAAAGCCAGGGTTTCGAAACAAGACCCGGGGTTTCGAAAAAACACGGGTTTTCCAAATTCTGGAAAATCATAAAAATGCTGTTATTTCTCATGACAATGGTTTTCTTCCTCATGTGCGTAGCCTTTCTCCCATCACCTCTGGTGCTGCTACCCTCTTGCGACTAATGTTTTCTCTTTCAACCTTTCAAGTAACCTTTGCTGTTATAATGATGTTATATACCCGCTTAGCACATACAACTCCATGTTTCACACTTTCAAATGGCTCTCGGGCTAGGGCACGTTCCAAGCATAGCCTTCGCGCGGTGGTCTCTTGCCCCAAGTCGTTCAAACCAAACTGCGGACCTTCCTGCGGCATGTTTTTTTTCCGATTTCCCCGGGGTTAGGGAGACTAAATCCCAGACTTGGTCCCTTGGGGAAGTTTTCAGGGGAAAAAAAAAGGCATGTTTTTTGAACCACCAGTAAATTGACACACGGAAAACCCACCGTTTCTTATTCCTGGCGGAACCTATGGATTTCCATCTGTTAATTTACCATGCAGGGTTTGCAGTAGATGTTCCCTTCACATTCCTTCACCCCAATCCTGACCTCAAAAGGTGAGACGTTTCTTTCTTAATATCCAGGTCTTGAAGATATTATTCCATTATATCCGTTTTGTATCCATATTATACCAAATACCTGTTGATGGTTGACTTCCCAACACCTGAGACTCAGAAGGTGGATAAGCAAAATATAGCAAATCAAATGACCTCCAGTAAACTAAGCTTCATTGGTTTTCCTGGGGAAATCTACAGGAAACCCATGGCTTTTACCATGGTTTTACCATGAAATCTGCTGGTTTCCTGCAGATTTTCCCAGGAAAACGGCGTAGCTGGGCCTCTACGAAGATTCGCCGGCAGCCGGGTTTCTCCACCAAAGGAGCCAGGTAGCAGTTGGGCATCGCAGCTAAAGGGCCTAATCTCGAAACAATCGCCGTCCCGGGGAGCGGGGCATAGGTATGATATAACTTTTGTTCATTGTACACACACACATATATATATATATTTGTTTGATTAGTTAAATTGTATCTTTATCTTGAACTACTATTCCTCCATTTGGGCAAAAACAAATGGATGTCTGGTGGGTACTCAACCCAATGACCCAGAACATCTGCAAGGTTTCCTCCGGTCATCTCCCCACAGTAGCTCCCCACAGTCGGCATTCCATGCTTCAAGAAGTCGAGTCCCACAATGGGTTTCAGGGCCGTCGGTTCTTGGACACAACTTCTTCTGATTGGTGGTTTTAACCATATTGAAAACTATGAAAGTCAGTTGGGATGATTATTCCCAATATAGCCAATATATTATGGAACATAAAACATGTTTGAAACCACCAACCAGTTCTTATTGTGACATATTGTAACCAAGAACGCATGACCAACATATGATGCGTGTCCTGCCAAATGGTACATGTCATTTCTTTGCATGCAGATACACAAGCATTCACATATGCACATGGTTTAACTATAATGACAGGATACAGTAAGAAATGTAAGTACTATAAGAAGGTCCCAGTTCCCCTTGATGGCATCACCACATCATGACCAAGGTATAACCATCCCCCCTCACCGCAACGCACAAAAAACATACCATATATGCACATGAAACACATCAAACGTGCCTTGCCTGATGCTTGAAAATGGAAGTCCACGTGCCGAAACCGTGCTGTCGCAGTTCTCAGTTGGACAACGCGCTCATGTTCAATAGAAAACCGGTTCAGCACAAGACTTGCTTGGGAAGAAACAAGTTGTTGGAATATTGTTACATAATGTCAGCTCCAACCAGGGAGCTCCGTACAACCACCAGTTTTTGCTTGATGCTGATCTTTGTAAGTATCCGGCTAATCAAGCAGCGGAGTCTAAATATGGAGTCGACATGCGTCAAGAATCATGAAGCAAGAAATCATAACAACTCCACATTCCTGCATTGCATGCCTGGGTTGGCTCAAAATTGTTCCCCTCCTGTGCCTAGAAATCTGCCTTTGAGGATACAGTAAATCCCGATGATGAAGCATCAATGAGAATACAAAAACCTCCTGCCAGGAGACGGCTTGGCTGATCCAAGAGACATGAACAGCAAGGCATTCTAAAGGCATTTCAAAATTTCAAGCCCTTCCCCGACCATGCAAGATCATGTTAACTTCAGCCAAGCATCGTGGTAAGGGTGTCGGTGTGGGTGGTTCCAGTTGCTGTGCTTGTGCTGCTTATCCTGCTGGTCGTGCTGCTAGTGCTGGTCGTGCCAGTGCTTGTAGTGCTGGTCAGGCTGGTGATGCTGGTGGTGCTGGCGGTGATGGTGCTGCTAACGCTGCTGACGGTGCTGACGGTGCTGGTGGTGCTGGCGGTGCTGGTGATGATTGTGGTGGTTGTGGTGGTTGTGGTGGTTGTGGTGGTTGTGGTTGTGGTGGTGCTTGTGCTGGCACTGGCAGTAGTGCTGGTGTTGCTGGTAGGAGTGGTGAGAGTGGCGGTGCTAGTGTTGCTGACCGCACTGGTGGTGCTCATGGCGCTCGTCGTAGTGCTTGTGGTGCTGCTGCTTGAATTTGTGTTTCTGCTGGTGGTAGTGATGGTGGCGGCGGTGGTGGCGGCGGTGGTGGTGATGGTGGTGGTGGTGGTGGTGGTTGTTGTTGCCCCCTTCCTGCTGCTAATGGTAGTTGCTTGCCACCCGGTGGTTTCAGTGGCGCTGGTCGAGAGGTTCTCTGCTGGGTTGGTGACTGCAAACGACCAGGACAGGGTGGTGCTGCTTGACACAGTGGTGGAATTCATCATGATTTCATCGGCCACATATCTTGTGGTGCTTGTCCTTGTGGTGCTTCGACCGGCAGGGCCAGTGGTGTTGGCTTCAGCGAGAAAGTGGGTGGTCACTAGAGTTGTCAGGGTGACGTTGGAGTAACCTGCGTCCAGCGACGTGGATCTGACGCACCCATTGATATTAAGGCATGTATTGGCGATGTTCTCCACATGCAATGACCAACCAGAATCATCCAGAATCTACCAGTTGCTACATATCCCGCATATTCAAACAAATGGTTCATGGGTTGGTTAGCGGGAAATCTTGAGGCAACTACGATTTTGAGCACTGAACAAAGAGTTTTCCTGCCTTCATGCCATGCAATTCCATCCTGGAATTTGTATATAAATATTCTCATCCAACCATTTCGTGGTGTTTTCCTCGCAAAGCAGGTCGCACCTTGGATCTCCGTGAGGTTCCCTTCAGAGCTGTTCATCTGGAGAATCAGTTCCATTGCCTGTGCCAAGGAAAGCTTCAACATTTTGCTTGTTTTTAACTAGGCACACAATCGGCGCCATGTTGGTATCAAAAGCCTCAGCCGAAACATTGGGTTGACCACATGAATCCACATAATCCCTTCTCCTGACAAGTCCTGACAAGTTGCAGCCTCAGATTCATCCGCACTCAGATT